ATTAACCTGAGGTAGTTTATAGTGGGAGAAAATTAAAATGAATTATCACGTTAATATAAGATATTTCTTAGTAGTTATAGTAAGTTATTGTCAGTTAGTAAAATGATAATATATTCTATCTATAGTATATCGAACTTACCATTAGCACAATTAAGCTGAAGGAAGCAGATATACAATAAGATGGAAAAAACTGCAACACACTTCATCTTTTACGTAAATAATACACTAACACCTTCTTGAATTTTTTGTAACTTATGAATACCAGCCATCCAGATCTTTCCTTTTATTTCGATTTATGAGATAGCAAACAATGGCAATAAACACGATCCAGCGTTTCTGATAAGTCGAAACGTGTTTAAAAAAAAATACTCCAATCAGTGTCGGGCCTGAAAAAGGCATAACAGTGTAAGTTGCCTCCTCAGGCATGAAAAGGTAGTTAGAGATAAATTAGAAGCAGGAAAAGAAGTCCATAGGTGTAGAGGTAGATTTAGTTTACTTAGTCTTTATTTACTTCAGTCCCTGAAGAAGGTAACTTTGTTACCGAAAAGTGCTTCGGACAACTACAGTGTCGTGTTTTGGCGTTGGGGTTTTGAGCTATTCTGTTTGTTCGTTTTACATACTTTTTTGCATAATCAGGACGTTTAAACTTATTTGAAATATATGTATCTAATTTTTGACGTTTTTTAGTTTAATCTAATTTTTGTCAAAAACATCTCATTCTAATAAATTTAATCGTTCAATTATAACTAGAAATGGGAACCAGGGATAATAACGAGTTTAAGGACGCAATTCGTGATATTGCAGTGCACGCACCAAATCTTGCCAACCCCTACGGTATAATTCTATATAATTTTATATTAATCAATAATATCATCCGCAATTCTACACTTACTTCAGGCAAAAACTTGCAACTAATAAAATTAATGTAATAAGGCATAAAAATTTCACAGATAGAGTACGTTGTTCAGAATGGGCAAGAAAATTAGCAAGTATACCAGACGATAAAATTGAATTTAGCAAATTAAGAAACGAATATGCACAATTTTTGAGAATACAAGTGCGAAATAATTTTCTCCATGGCCCTTTCATGATTCCACCCCCTGATACAAACTTGTGTCCTTTGGCAGAATGTCTAGGAAATATGATGGCCCAAAAGGTTATCAAAAAAAAAAACGTTCTTAACAAATAACAAATACTAAATACGATATTATTTAGATACCATATTTACCCAGAACGGGTCCAATTGCTCCCATGCTGCACCATAGGTCTCCTGATGGTAGAGCGTTTGTGTCAGCAAAACAAATTCCAGGAGGTGGTGTCTTCTGTTATATGGCAGTTAGTCCCGAAGGTTTCGATTAAATTAATTTGTGTCAATTAAACTTATTTTTTGATTAGTTTTTTGGGGTTTTTCAAAAANAGGTATGCCAAAGGTTTTATTGTGTTTGTTGCAAATTTACGTTATTGTAGTTTTGCAAACAAACAAGGAAATTGTAGTTGAAGACGCCACAATGTGTTTTTAGTGGTTAATAACTTCGTACTTTGGACAATTTGCGGAATATACGACGTTTACCTACACTAATCTTTAGTTGTAATCGTGCTGGAAAATGAAGGAAATCATTATTTTCAATTGAATGAAAGCGTCCCATTGCATTGAAGCGAACAAAGAAGGTATGTGCTGCATTTTTAAACGTCGCCAATTTTCTCGTAATTTGCATATATAGGTATGTATGCAATTTTGATCCTTACGTTATTTCCTGTTGTTGATAATAACAGATGTTTTTCCACTCTTGTAAACAATGCATTCCTTATCAGAACTGCAAATTATATTTTATATTATTCTGTTAAGTACACTCAATATTTTTAATTTATTCGTGTGTTCAGAGAAAATTAAGTTAAATGCAGTGTGTATTTACTAGTATTAACTGCAACCTTTTTCTTATTGTACTTAATCAATCTTCGCTTTCCTCGAGAACAATGCATTTTACATCCCTAACTATTTTCAAAGTCATCCTCTGCCTCTGATTGCTCGTATGTCAGCTTCTTATTTGTCTCTACTTACCTCTTTATGTGTCTTACTACCCCACATCACTAACTTCCTATCTCTCCCTTTCATCATTGATTTTTATACCGCGCTTTTCCAAATACCTCCTCATTTCTAACATTTTCTACAGACAGTCATTTATGTAATAGAATTATGATTATCTGTACACATTCCTATTATACTAAGCCAATCTTCGCTTTCCACAAAAACTATGACATTCTAAATCCTTAACCATTTATGAAGCCCTTCTATGCCTCTCTTTGTCATGTGTCTGCTTCTGGTATGCCTCTAACTAACCCTCTATATCTCAGAAGATGTCTTACTATCCCATATCACTACCATCTTATCTCTTAGAAGAAGAAATTCATTGACTTTTTTATACCGCGCTTTTCCAAATACCTCTTCAATACCAACAGCAACAGTACACATCCTATTATACTAAGCCATTCTTCGCTTTCCCCAAAAACTAGGATGTTCAAAATACCTAACCATCTGCGACTTCCTCCTATGCCTCTTTTTGTCGTGTGTTTGCTTCATGCATGTCCCTAGCTAGTCTTTCATGTCTAAGATGTCATGCCATTCCACGCTATTGACTCCTATGACGCGCTTTTCCAAATACCTCCTCATTTCCAACAGTTTCTACCCACAGCAACTTGTGTAATAGCATTTGATTAACTGTACATTTTCCTATTATACTAAGCCAATCTTTGCTTTCCTCGAAACCTAGGACACTACATCCCTAACTATTTGCGAAGTCTTCCTCTAATCCTTTTTGTCGAGTATCTGCTTCTAGTATGCCTGTGACTAACCCTTCATGTCCCAAGAGAAGTCTTACTATCCCATGCCACTACCATCCCATCCCTTCTTATCTTCATTGACCTTTATACCGCGCTTTTCCAAATACCTCCTCAATTGCTACAAACTCTACTTACATCAACTTATGAACTAGCATTTGATTAACTGTACAGATTACTATTATACTAAGTCAATCTTCGCTTTCCCCGAAACCTAAGACACAACATCCCTAACTATTTGCGAAGTCTTCCTCTAATCCTTTTTGTCGAGTATCTGCTTCTAGTATGCCTGTGACTAACCCTTCATGTCTCAAAAGATGTCTTACTATCCCATGCCACTACCATCCTATCCCTTCTCATCTTCATTGACCTTTATACCGCGCTTTTCCAAATACCTTCTCAATTGCAGCAGTTTCTACCTACAACAACTTATGTAATAGCATTTGATTAACTGTACAGATTACTATTATACTAAGTCAATCTTCGCTTTCCCCGAAACCTAAGACACAACATCCCTAACTATTTGCGAAGTCTTCCCCTAATCCTTTTTGTCGAGTATCTGCTTCTAGTATGCCTGTGACTAACCCTTCATGTCTCAAGAGATGTCTTACTTTCCAATGCCACTACCATCCCATCCCTTCTTATCTTCATTGACCATTACACCGCACTTTTCCAAATACCTCCTCATTTCCCACAGTTTCTACCCACAGCAACTTGTGTAATAGCATTTGATTAACTGTACACATTCCTATTATACTAAGTCAATCTTCGCATTCCCCGAAACCTAGGACACTACATCCCTAACTATTTACAAAGTCCTCGTCTGTCCCTTTTTGTGGCCTATCTGCTTCTAGTATGCCTGTGACTAACCCTCCATGTCTCAAGAGATGTCTTACTATCCCATGCCACTACCAACCTATCCCTTCTTATCTTCATTGACCTTTATACCGCGCTTTTCCAAATACCTCCTCAATTGCAACAGTTTCTACCTACAGCAACTTATATAATAGCATTTGATTAACTGTAGACATTCTTATTGTACTAAGCCAATCTTCGCTTTCCCTGAAACCTAAGACACAACATCCCTAACTATTTGCGAAATCTTCCTCTAATCCTTTTTGTCGAGTATCTGCTTCTAGTATGCCTGTGGCTAACCCTTCATGTCTCAAGAGATGTCTTACTATCCCATGCCACTACCATCCCATCCCTTCTTATCTTCATTGACCTTTATAGCGCGCTTTTCCAAATACCTCCTCAATTGCAACAGTTTCTACCTACAGCAACTTATGTACTAGCATTTGATTAACTGTAGACATTCTTAGCCAATCTTCGCTTTCCCCGAAAACTAGGACATTCTAAATCCTTAACCATTTGCGAAGTACCTCTGCCTCTTTTTGTCGTGTCTGCTTCAATTATGCCTCTAACTAAACCTTCCTTAATACAACTAGCGACATCTATTAGAAAAATATTTCATTAAATTAAGAAGCAACACTAACATATTTGGAAGGGAAAAAATAAAAATGGTGTCATTTCATTTAGGGTATAATTAAAAAAAAATTGCAATTGCACCAAAAAAAAAAACATTAAGTATCATTCCTACACACTAACCACTGAATCAGTTTTATAACAAAAAATGTACTTATATCACAGTAGGTGAAAACAGGCAACACAACGAAATATAATAATAATTATTATTTCGTTATTAGGTGTCTAAGTTTTTTTTTATTATTTTGTTTGTTTGTTTGTTTATATGGGTTAAAATAATTTCCTAACATCCATCAGAATCCTATGGGTACGACAATCGCGTCCTTGTTATTGTAAATGCTAGAATCAGGAGTTATCGACTCTTTGGATAATGATGGCACAGATCCATTTGTAATCGTACGATTTTTATAAGACGTTGTGTCGTCGTCAGGGGCGGTTATAGTGACCGGTATTGGACTAGGTGGTATTTTGATTTCGATGTGATCATCGATCGATGATGAATCCAAACTGCACAAGCTGTCTGACGATTGATTTCGAATTTTTGCGAACATATTATCGAGATGGTCTGAAAATGGCATTTGTTATTGTAAATTCGATAATAACGATAATGGTAAAATGTGCATGAAGCTCGTGGATCATTTATGTACATCTAATGAAAGTTTTGTTCGCTTTTTAGTTGTATAATGAAGTATTTTTTAAATTTTTTGCGATGCGCGCTAAAATTATTTTGACGTCACATTGTGCATCAATTGAGTGGGTTAAATGAAACAAAAAGTCGTCAAAGGTAGTGTCTATAGACATAAACACTATACGACGCGTACAAAAGTAGTCTATAATGTGAACAAGATGGAGTTATATGTCAGTTTCCATCTCATTCTACTTGATAAGTACCTGAAATATTAGTGTCTCAGGCCGCCAGGAAAAAAAAAACAAGTTTCATATACTTGATAGCTCATTTTGTATGAAAATCACACAAGAATTAATTTTACATCCAATTGACGATTAGTATGCTCAGATCTGCAGATGATATAGCAGTATTAGCATCTAGCAAAGAGGAGTTACAGATAGCTTTAAATAAAATGGAAGCGGTCTTGACAAAACAGTATTGTATGAAAGTAAATAATAGTAAAGTTATAAGTATCTAGAAAGTCAGATAAGTCAGGACGGAAGGAGTAGTAGAAGAAGAATTCATTTCTATACTCGCGAACAGTTAATTTAGAAATTTGAAAAAGATTGTTGAAGAAGGTGTATGTTTGGAGTGCGGCCCTGTACGGGCGCGAAACATAGACGGTGGACGCGGCGGAAAAGAAAGGTTAGAAGCGTTCGAAATGTGGTGTTACAGGTAAATGATGAGGATACCGTGGATAGAGAAAGTTAGAATTAAAGAGGTATTATTAGAAAGAATAGGAGAACAGAGGACTCTATGGAAGTCAATAAGAAATAGGCGAGATAGGTTGGTAGGACACCTTCTCAGGCATGAAGGTCTAGTCAGAGACATATTAGAGGCAGAAACAGGAGTTAGGAGGGGTAGAGGTAGACCTAGATTAGATTACTGTTCGCAAATAGTTAAGGATGTGGGTTGTTCTAGTTTTGGGGAAATACGAAGATTAGCTCAGGATAGGAAAGAGTGGATGTGCGTATCCAACCAGTCTTAGGACTGACGATCTTATGATGATCAAAATTGTGAATATGACATGATTGTTGTTCAAAAGAAGCCATTATGAGATGTTTGAATAAAATAACTGATTCTTACCTGACGTAGCCTCGTGGTTGAACATGGCCCTATGCTCTTCCAATTGTTTGGCGCTACAGAGGGGTGTATCCACCTCCACCGTATTATTAAAAAGTGCATAATCCACCTCATATTCGCCAGTCAACTTTTTAAAAGTGACCAAGGTCTGAAATCGATGACCCCATAAGATTTCTGATGGCAAGTAGCTTGACCTCGCTTGCGTGGTCATACCGGTCGATTCAATAACACCCTCTGAAACAAAAAAAAAGCTTTTGTAAACCAAAACCCAACCTAAGTCCTTTTTCAGTCCAATCCAAACTTACTTTAACCTTAACCCACAAGATAAATGGAATTAAACCATGTTGTAGCAATTACTTAGTTTGGTATTTCGATATGACGTAAAATTTATATTGTCACTTCTAAAATTAAAATCAAAATGGACCTTCAAATCAAAAGGCGCATGTTTCAATCTTCAAAGACTTTAAGATTAATTTCTTTGATTTCTTCTGTCATGTTTGAAATTAAAAAGAAAACATGTTGTGCAAGCTTAGTATTAGTTAATTTATAACAAGGCTTTGATGATATTCTTTCAAGTCCTTTCTAATGGATTTGGATTATATTTCAGAGAATTTGTAATTTGCATATGCTTTAGATATTAATATAAATTGTTTACACATAAGATAAATGCATTTCAGTAGATTGTCAAGATTGTTATTTCCTATACCAAAAGGTTTCTTAGAAATTTCGAAAGTAATTTTCTCATGATAACAACTAACAGACTAGCAAACATGATATCATGGTGTTGATTAAAATAATAAAAAATTGCAGCCTACCTAAAATAACAACAATTTCGAATCGTTCCCTTAAAAGATCTGTAGCAGACATGTTGTACAGGGGTGAACTTCTATCTATTCTATGAACTATAGTAGTGGGCCAAATGAAGAAAATTTTATCTTCTTCGCCATCACAGCCAACCTGAAAAGACAGAGAAGAAACTGAAGCAATTTACATAAATGAGTACCTAAATAAATCTACAGTTTCCATAAAGAAATTAATAGATAATTTTCCAATTTCTCAAAAGCCCCACAAAAGTCCAGACAACCTTACGCAAAACGTCCGAATACGAAACAGTAAAATAGAAATTCAACGTTAGCCAATGAAAAATCAAAAGTAATTCGCAGAGTACAATGTAATTGTTTATTGTACCCATGGAACGTTATTGGTTAACTTTCACTATCGCCTATTATTTAAGATAATTCTTTAGGAAAACGTTTCAATCGGTACGGCCTTGAACGAAAATAGTTTGCCGTAGTTGGAACGTACGGTTGTATTTTTGGATTCTGCAAAAAGACAACCCCGAAATAGTACTTGAGTTTGTAAATAATTCAGGAGTGATCTCGGAGATTTACCTAAACATTTCAAACTATGTTTTCGTGAAAATAATCTCATGACTAATTACGTAAATAGCAGAAAGAAATACTGTTCGTTTCAAGAACTTAGAGATATGCCCCTTCCCTTTATTAGAATGCGCCGTACCATAATTCCAAATTCAATCATATTTGTCTGCGGAGCTCATTTCTCCACCGATCATCCAGCGAGAGCTAGACAAAAGTATACAGTACCATTTGCAAAATTATTTAAACTGCCTCGTTAAAATTTAAGAATATGCTTTATTGAAAAGCATATTTAGCCAAAAATAATAACCAGTGAATTAACTTAACGTTCTACACACCTATAAAACTTTTNCAAAAAATATTTCATCATTCTATTTCTAGCTTCATTATTACAAAATCTTACGAAAAAAAAAACGTAACATTTTGTTGCACGTTTCATTAATGCGTGTAGCAAGTGAAGTGCCAAAAAACCACATCACATTAAAATATCGTCTTAAAATGCGAATAATAAACAAATTATTATTGTAAACAACAGATACAAATATAGCGCCAGAAATGTCAAAAGAACTCTCACAGTTTAAATATTTATACGAAAATTCACCACAATAAAGTACATAAACGTTTGAAATTTGCAAAAAAGCCAATAGTACAATTACTTATTATTCTTTCCTTTGGTAACGTCTGTGATTTAGTTTTCAACGTTTTCCTATCTTTAGTCTCATTCCTAGAAGTACAACATGAGGAAAGGCGTCAGAGAAGGATTCAAACTGTTACTACTTCAGGACAACTTTAAGGATAGATATACAGGACGAAAGATTAGTATATTTAGATAAAATACTGATATACAAGGGAAGAAAAAGTAGGGAAAGAGTGAATATAAAAATCGGAGACGAAAAGTTAAAAGAAGTGACTGATTTTAGATATCTAGGAAGTCAGATAGTTCAGGATAGAAGGAGCAGTAGAGATATAAGACAGAAGATAGTGCAGAGTCATACACAAAAGAAGTCTTTTTTATGGTCACGAACAGTTATTTTACAAATTCGAAAAAGATTGTTAAAAGTGTATGTCTGGAACTCTAGAGAACGACCTGGGCGCGGCAAAAAAGAAAAGGTTAGAACCGTTGGAAATTTGATGTTACATGTAGATGATGAGGATACCGTGGATAGATGGTACAAAAAAAGAAAAGAGTAGAAAAACAGAGGACGCTATGGAACTCAATAAAAAATCGACAAGATAGGTTGGTGGAACGCTTTCTCAAGCATGAAGGGTTAGCTACAGACATTGGAAACAAAAACAGAAATTAGGAGGGACAGACGTAGACCTAGATTAGATTACTGTTCACAAATGGTCAAGGATGTGGGGTACTCTAGTTTTAGGGAAATGTCAAGATTAGCTTAGAATAAGAAAGAGTGAAGATACGTGTCCAACCAGTCTTAGAACTGACGCCCTTATGATGATGATGATACACTTAAATAGTGTGTAATCGGTTCTAATCTGTGTGTTTAGTGTGTTTAGTGTTTAGATAGTTTTGTTAGTTAAGCAATATTCGATGTATTTCCACTGGCGTCAGACGAGATTGTTTAATAGGACACCTTCTCAGACATGAACGGCTGGTTAAAGACATTGGAAACAGAAACAAGAGGTAATGGGGGTCGAGGTTGACCTAGATTACATTACTGTTCTCAAATGGTCAAGGATGTGGGATGCTCTAGTTTTAGGGAAATGTGAAGATTAGCTCGGAATATCAAAGAGTAGAGGTGCGTATCCAACCAGTCTTGGGACTGACGATCTTATGATGATGATGATGATGAAAACCTTAACTGTTTGGACACGTACATTCACTTCGTCCTATCCTGAGTCATAGTCATGATCCAATCTTCACATTTCCTAAAAACTGGACCACCCTAGATCTCTTAACTATTTACGAACAGTAATCTAACCTAAATCTACATCTATATTATATGTCTCTAATCAATCCTTCATGTCTGAGAAGATATCCTATTTCGTCTATTTCTTATTGACTTCAATGACACCCTCAGTTCTCTTACTCTTCCTAATATACCGCTTACGTTCAACAATCTTTCCGTTTTTTAATTATTTATGAAGGAAAAGAATAAATTTAAAAATACATCACTAGATAGATGGAAGCGGTATTGACAATAAATCGTCAATTGCAAAACAGTATTGTATGAAAATAAATAAAAGTAGAAGAGTGGAGGTGCGTGTCCAACCAGTCTTAAGACTGACGACCTTATGATGATGAGATAGTTTTTGAGGTAGGTAGGTGCATACGTAATTGGATCTGGCAAAAGTTAGACGCCGCTACTGTTTTTTGTTAATCTAAATGCATACATGTATGTACTAGCTACCTACTAATAAAAAAAGGCGTTTCCTATAAACGATTGTGGCCACTTATGTATCTATTTTTGTTTATCGAGTGTCGTTATCATCACGAGTGCCTTCTGGAACGTACCTAATTCAAAGCTTTATTGACGCGGTGTGAAGTTAATGAGATTAAGTTTTACGTCCCCATCAGTTTTCCTCTCGGAAAATTCATTTTCATACCTATCGATCCACTTGTTATTAATGGCATGGCTTAAGCTTTAAGCGATCTCTTTACGTCAATGTCTATCATTATTGTTGTTTTATCATTGTTTATTATTGCGACAGCAGGTATATATACATACATCGATACGAGACGTTTTTATCTAATGTTTGAATTACGATAGCCGAAACAAAAATGACAAAAATTAATTCGATAGATTGGTAAATGCAATTTAAAAATAAAATAAATCGTGAAACGCTGTACAAGCGACATCCAGTGGTTGATAGACGTAGTTTGACAAGCAATTATTACTCTTTGACTCATACACCTATTGTGAAAGAAAACTGTAACTACTCTTTAGATCATACATCAACGAAAAGTTATTTTATAAAATAAACATGTAATTAACTAAATGTTTGCAAGTTATTCTCTTCGTTTTCAGTAATTATTACATTTGTTTGTAGTAATTTCTGTTCGCAAAAATGGCTGCCATCTAAGCACGAACTAGTGACAGTAGTTGAAGTAAAGCAATTGGTCATTACAATACGTTTTGTACGCTGCAAAAACAATAGCAAATGGGTTGAGTCTCAAACCATAAATGGCGATAAAATCAAACCAAAAATTAGTTTGCAATGTTTGCGAAAAATGGATGCTGTTAATAAGGCAGCATCCAGTAATTAGCGCGGTAAAACAGCTGAATATTACGCTTTTGTTTTTATAGGTACCTATTGTAAAAAAAGAGTGTGTTACATGACTCAGTTCTCCGGTCATAAATGTACATTCTGTAAAATACATAAAACAACAATTATTGGTTGCGTAAATCACAAAACAGATCATTAATGTAATCGTTGACGTTTTTTAATTGGCAATGCGTTCGTGCTTTATACCTACATAATGTGCACATAATGCACGATTTTATTTTTATGACATTGCATAACTCTTTTTGTGCAGTACGTACTAACGTCATTTTTTACATTTTATAAATATTTTAGTAGAGTTGCACCAAATTATTTCCACTTTGGACATGTACATATGTACATATTTTTAAACCTGTAGTCCCTATCTAAGCTCATTCAAAATAATTTTATGGTCCAAGCTTTAAATTTAACCAGTCTTAGGACTGACGACCTTATGATAATGATGAAGCTTTAAATTTAATGATTGTAACATGAAGTAAGAATATATTTATATGCAGCGAACCACACACCTGAACATAGACATTTAAACCCGTCCATTTCCTTGCAATTGTTTAGTTCCAACTGGATTATGTTCGTCAAAATAGCATGAAAAAACGTAAACGTTTTAATTTGTAAATTGTACTACAGATGGAGTTTACCGCGCCATTTGTGGCATTTTATAAAACGTGCCGTTAAGACAGCAAGTAAAATTGGTCTGTGTTCTGTCGCAACCGTCTGCGACGCGCTGATGAGATCCAACAAGATCGAAATCGCGATCCGCATCTAGCAGTTTCGACAGAACACAAACCACTTCGAATTATTCTATTAAACGTTTTAATGGTCAGCTGATTTCAAAATGTTATTTTAGTTCGTAAAGTTTGTGCACATTTTGAATTTCCTTATATTTATAATACGACAAAAAGCTACGAGCATGTTGTCTTTCTTTCTTTTTCCATTCTTGCAACCCAATTACAAGAACAAAGGACTCCGAGTTCCCCAGGTTAATATGAAATACGTACAACGGAAAAAAAACCCATACGTGCTTGCAAATAATACAAATTCCTTTTCACAAACACGTTCTCGTAACTAGATCAAAGGCCATGCTTTTCATCACTCCATTTCAATCCGTCGCGCTTGTTTCAGATTTTTTGTAGAATCGTTATAGTTAGTAAACATAACGATGTTTTTTTTTAATTGAAACTGGTNTTAAATATTTCCAATTGAAGAAAATATGCACGCTTAATGCAGTTAATGTTTTTCCAAACACTTTCTGCCGTTTCTTGAGTTTGAAGTAGTTACGTTAGTTGACAAACACTATGAAATACTACTGTTAACAGTAGTCATATATAGATGGCGTTATAGCGTCATTTACTTGATATTTCGCGTTTATTACCACTCAGTGTTATTCAAACGATTTTCTTGCACTTAGTTGAACCGATACAGACTGCACTTTATCGATTGTAAGATGTATGTGTGCTGGTAATCGATTACTTCCTTATTAAAATAATTAATTAGTTTGTTTATTCTACTATTTTACGTAATGTTTAATATACTTAATGCATTAAATACCTGAATTCCGAAGAGGCAAGAAAAAGGTAATTGATTGTCATCAGTTTTGGCGGAATTATTCATTTGTTTAGTTACGTCATTCTTATGTATCCTTTTATAAATCTTACGAATTGAATCGATCGCTTTTTACAATGCATTAATAAAACAACTTACCGCGAAATGGATAGCATTAAACAAATAATTTACGCAATAAAAGAAACATTTAAACAGTAGGTATTACTCTGATCATAGTAACTTATAGCAGGATTTTGTTGATTTATTATTTATTGAACATTAAATTTCATCAATATCCGTATGATTATAATCCATTAAGTAATATTGAATCGAATTTCCATCAAATTCGTGCCACAAACGCCATATTGAATGTGAGTACCGTTCCGCCATATTGAATTTCTTCGATATTAGTAGTTAATTGAAACTTTCGTTTAATCATTTGTTTTTTAAAACATTTGCCAATATGAATCATAAATAGAAATTAAGAACAACTGATAACATTATCTTCATATGTTTTGTTGTTCAGCAGCGTACCTAGTAACTAACAGCTATGACGAATAAAACTGCTGGATTGTAAATCTATCAAATGCATTATTATTTAAACGACGATCGCGTCAATAACGACTTCCTTTTTCAATAAAAATGAGACAAAACTTTATGGTTCGTGGTAGTCGTAAGTTCAAGGTGTGTCGCTGTTTAAAACATTTACCAGACTTACCTACACTTTCGAAAGAAAAATTATAATAAAAATGAAGTTTTGATGTTATATTTTACAAATATGCATGTCATCAAATCATTGCTAAAATATTTTAAATGACGTGAATCACGGAATTTAATATTTGCGAACATTATCTCATGTTTGCCCAAGAGCTTCAACCTTCAAAATATTTGTTTACCTACATATATTTAATTAAGTACTTACAACGGTTATTAAATAATTAAATAGAATAGTTAATCGATAATTAAATTAAATAAAACACCTTTCTATATTAATAGAAATTTTATATCCTGAATGTAAAATTAAAGATCATGTTCGATGACATTTTGAAGTGACACTCGAAACATTTTAACAAATATAACAATAATTCGTCCTTGCGAATGGAACAAAGTGACCGCATGTGGTTGTACTTAAAATCATGTCCAAATGCGTCCACAGAATATTAATAGACTTGTGAATTACCTTACGGAGATTAACACATCAATCTGACATCGGTTACTACGATATAACAAGTATTTTATGAGAAAAGTAAATAGAAAATGTCACTGAAACTGGTAGAAAACAAGATAATTTTCTCGCGGTGTTAAACAAATAAGAAACTGTAGAGTAACAACGATAAAAACTTATTTTATCGTGCTTCAAACAAATGGTACAGTAAGAAATTCAAATTAAAATAAAGGGAAATATTCAAATTCCATCTAGTAATCAAAAGACGAACTAGTGCAAGCGAGTGTTACGACAATTAAAAGAAAACTGTAAAAATATCACTTGTTTTTCTTCTTACACCAAAATTTGTTATTTTATAAAAAACTAAACAAAAAATGCCACTTGAAACAGGTGAAAATCGAGATAATTCTCTTGCGACGTTATAGAAATATAAAATCAAATCAAATATAAAATCAAGACTACTACTACATTAAAATTCCATCTAGTAATCAAACGGCGAACTAGTGCAAACGAGTGTTACGACAGCGTAGAAGAAAACCGTAAAAATACCACTTGTTTTTTCTTCTTGTTCCAAAATTTGCTATTTTTGAATAAGCTACGATGCAATTAAACGTTTATTTTTTGAAAATAGAACACATTTAGCCTTATATTGTGTCATTTCCTTGACTGTAAATACTTTTGAAGAAATTATTCACTATCAGACAGTCCAATGTAGGTCATGCTTTTAATAAATTCGAAGAAAAAAATATTAATACTAGATTAATTAATTGTCGAGCAAGTGTTAAATGTACCCAAGT